GCGCCCCCCCCCAAAAATTAAAGGCCCCCCATCCTCAGGGGACCCCTTTGGCCCCCCCCCCCCCCCCCCCCCCCCCCCCCCCCCGGCCACCGCCTCTCCACCTTTCCACCGAACCGCCTTCCTCTACGCGGTCCTCGCTCCACAGCACTTCATCCGCCCTACCGCCGTCTTGCACCGACTATGCTCGCATCGCTTCTTTCTCACAGCGCATCCGGCACTTTAGCCTCAACTTCGGGCAGTGTGGTCTCTGCGTCGCCCGAACTTGTGGGTTTTCACGTTTAGCGTCACCGTTGCCCTGGGTCGCGTGGTCTCCGCGTCTCTCGGGCCTCCGGCCACTAATCATTCAACGCCGTCTGAGCCTCAGTCCGCGTGGTCTCCGCGTCGCCTGAGCCTCCTTTTCTTGTTGTTTCCGTTCCGGGACTTCTTTGAAACGCACCGCGTTCTGAACCACGCACGAGAGGTCTGTAGTCCTTCGGGCGGTACTCTCTGTGCGACATGGCTCGGACCAGGCAGACGGCGAGGACTTCCACTGGCGGGAAGGTTCAACATCTTGCGCTTGGTAGCAAGGCAGCCTGCGTTCGTATCGCGTCGCCTTTGCCTCAGGCTGCGTGGTTTCCGCGTCGCCTGAGCCTTCAGCCGCGTTCGTTTCGTCGCGGAGATATGAGCAAGCACCGTCTTACGATATCTGTCAAACTGTAACCTCGAGTGGATTATGTCAGTTTTCGTGGACCAAGACGACTTACTATCCTCAACGGCTACTCCCGGTCTTGACTTCCAGTGAAAGCTTTCCAGGACCAGATTGAGGAACAAGTTTTGAATGCTTTCATCACCCTTTGGCTCGACAAACACGTCATTTGCGTGACGATCGCATCAACTGGTCAAGCCTACGACCTGTGGCTCGCATATAAGGCTGTATGCGGTCAGAGATTCACCAACTCATGCATGAAATATGCACTAATCCATTTGAATCATACGCTGCCGTAGTTCCAGTGTCTCTCAGCCGCATATACACCGACGCACCCTGCATGTAGACGTCTGCTGTAGTCGTTCCGACCATCCCGCCTCCCTTCACAGCTCACAATGCCAGCCCTTGCGTCACAGTAACTCCTATAGCATCGACGTTTCTTGATTGAACGGCCTCCTCTTTCCTCATTTCGCTAGAATTCACATTGCCCCCGCTCCGTCGGACAGCCTTGACTCCCGTTGATGTCTCATTTCGACTCTTTCCGTAACCCTCAAAAATTCTTCTCACAGACTTTAATAAGCTCAGAGAGTCCAATCCCAGTGAAGTTTCTCAACTACATCGTCTCTGTCCTCCTACTCCCCGTAGTCATCTCCACACCAGTCCATGGAGCAATTGCCCCATGCATCACATCTACATAAGATGTGCGCGTTTCCGAATAAAAGGAATTAAACGTCGTGCGTGGATGTCACGTCGACTGTAACGCAAACCCGGCGACACGAGTGTGTACCGCGGGTGCTTTGCCCGTACTACCCTGCAGGAGCCGTAGTACTTCGATTCTCCTAAAGGCCATTTCTGTAGCCCTCCCAAGGCTGTTCCTCAGGCAACCAGAACCTGGTCGCCTACGTCAAATTGGCGTTGTGAGATAACCACCATCTTCTTGCTCTTTCTGTCCAACTGTTTAGCAGTCCTCGTCGCTCGGAGCGCGAGGGTCGCTAACAGTTCCAAGTTGCGCCCCTCAACGCCCCCCACCAGATTTGGTTCGACTCAGTCTGGGGTTGCGAGGGCGGCTTCACTCCATACATCCACTCGAACGTGGAGAACCCGTCGGACAGTCGGCGCCAGCGGTACCCGTAGAGAATCTGTTTCAACGCCGATTCCCATTTAGAGGTAGCGGCGCCCTGACCTAATAGCGTCTTCCGATTTGAACGCTTGATAGTCCCAACCATACGCTCCGCTTTTCCGTTGGACATCGGAGCATAGGCAAGGACCGGTTTCCATGAAATTCCCTCTTGTGCCATGGAGTTCTTCAACGCTGTCGCGCTGAAACATGTTGCATTATCTGAGACTATAGTCCGAGGGGAACCAAACGAATGGCTAATCTCCTCCTTCACGAACTTGACGACTTCCGCAGACGTAGCGGTCTCGGTTGCCCAAGCCAGGGGCCAACCAGTCAGATGTTCGACTGCTATCAGGATGTAACGTTTTCCGTTCTTCGTCTTGGGAGGGGGTCCCGCAAAGTCTATCGAGAATGTCTCAAAGAGCTGAGAGACTGGTATCACCGCCGTGCTCTTGTACGTCGGGATGGGCGCGGCCTTTTGGCAGCCTTCACATCCACGAACGTAGGCGTAGATATCACCATGAACTCCCGGCTACCAATACCTGTCAAGGACGAACTGCCGCGTAGCTGTAGCGTCCCAGTGGCCAATGTCGTCGTTCAGCGACCGCAATATCAGCAGTCCAGTCCCCCGAGAAGGGATTGTTCTGATCCCATTCTTCGTCCTGCGAAACAGCCTTCCGTTCCAGGCGAGGAACCGCCTGGAGTTCTTCTTGATTCTGCGCCTCTGCGCAGCATCTTGCTCGACCATCTCTTCGTCTTCGAGATAACAGTACGTGTCCGGTACATGAGGTTCCATGTCTTCCAGTATATCTCATTTCGCAAAAGCGGCAGCACATACCAGGTCCCCCTCATCTTCCTCGCGCCTGCCATCGTCTTCTCGTAGACGCGAGAGAAAGTCAGCGGCACAATTCTTTGAGCCGGGTCGGTACAATATCTCGAATTCGTACTCTGCCAGGAAATCCAACCAACGGGCAAGTCTACCGTGTATGTCCTTCTTTTTGAACGCATACTGAAGCGCTTGGTGATCCGTAATCAACTTGAACTTTTGCGTGAAAGCAAATACACCCGAAATTTCTTTAGCGCGAAGATCACTGCTAATGCTTCTCTCTCACAGGTAGAGTACTTCTTCTCAGTCTCCGTCATCGTCATGCTAGCGTATTGAATCGGGTGAACCTTCTTGTCTTCCTTCTTCTGAGCCAGAACTGCTCCCACTGCCATGTTGGATGCATCTGTCTCGACCACGAAGGGTTCGTCAAACTTCCGGAGCGCCAACAGCGGAGGAGACGTCACCCTCTTCTTCAACTCCCGGAAGGCGGTCCGCATCCCTTCCGTAAATTCAAATTCGATTTTGGTAGAAGTAGCAGCATGCAACGACGCAGAGACTTCTGCGAACTTAGGGATAAATCGGCAGTAATACCCCGCTAGTCCAAGGAAGCTTCGTAACTCCGTCTTGGTGCGCGGCTCGGGGGTGTTCCAAATGATCGATGTCTTCTCTGGATCCACCTCAATCCCTTTCTTTCCGATGACGTGCCCCAATAGCCTGGTCTGTGATTGCGCAAAAGAACACTTCGCAAGCTTCAACTTCAATCCACTGCAAGCAATCAGCTCGAACACTTCAATTAAGTGGTCAACATGGACGTCCAAGGACTTCGAAAAGATGAACACGTCATCAAGGTATACTCGGACGAATGGCAGGTCTCTGAATACGCCATCCATCATCCTTTGAAATGTTGAAGGAGCGTTCATGAGCCCGAATGGCATCACTTCAAATTGAAAGGTCCCGTACCGACAGACAAACGTCGTCTGTTCTTTGCACCATGAAGCCATCCGCACTTGCCAATAACCCGAGAACAAGTCCAGGGTAGGGAATACTTTGCTTCCTTCAAGGTCGTCGAATATCTCTTCCATTTTAGGCAACGGCCACTTGTCGGCCTTCATCACCCGGTTAAACGCGCGGTAGTCAACACAGAAGCGAGGTTTCCCG